AGCCCTACATAACAGTTGAATTAAGCAATCTAATCAGACACGCTTAGTAACAACAAATTTCTAATACTCAGCAGTAGCAAAAAAAAAGTACTACTGTTATTAACAGCAAAACAAAAATGTGCTTCAACTTACTACCAAGCTGCACAGGTTTTAACACCAATTCTTCATCCCTTTGGGTTTGAGATAGGATCTACCTCTAGCCGAGGCTGATCTCAAAACCGTAGCAGTCTTCCTGTGTCTGCTTTGCAACCCTAGGAATTACAGGTGCGGGACGACCACCTTACATCAGTAATTTCTTAACCAGAGGAAATTATACCCATCAAAAGGACATCTGGCCATGCTATGAGACACTGTTGAAGGTATTCCAAGCATCTGGTAAATAAACTATAACGCAATAAAACAGGCCCACATTGCATAGCCCCCCCCCAAAAAAGTCAATAGTGCATAGGCTAAGAAACGCTGCTCTACAGTTATTAATTCATTTAATACAACAATCCTAAATTATAATCCAAATTATGCCCCCCAAAAACCTTGAAATTACAAACATCAAACTGTCTGCTAAAGTAAGCAGTGATGCTAAAATCTGAACCCAGAAAAATCATTCAAAATTCAATACACTTACCACTACCCTATATTCAGTAAATATTCAATGAACAGTCACTGAATATTTACTATTCAGGATACTGTTCTAAATAATGCACTAGACATTTAATACAATCACACTGTTAGGCAGGTACTACTACTATTAATCTTAATTTACAAGAGGTGCCAAATTCACTTTGTATGACACCAGGGTCAGTTCTTAAAGGCTAGTAATAAAAAAATAGATGAATCATAGGCTCTCCTTCTAGGATAGTCAAGGAAAATTACTAAACATTCAAGACACACAGTATGACACAATACTGCAAAGCACAATTCTACAAAGCAATGCAGCCTAGTCACCTGCTCTACACATTCACTTCAAATTCTGATTCACTTTTATTAGTTATAATATTCAGGCAAGACCTCATAAGAGCAAACTTGGGTCATAACATCTTTCTGAATTTATCAAGTAAAAATAAATGACACCGAAGACTAAAGCAGACCTAGGAACTTAGAAAAAGAACCAGCAGGTATAAGATGAAACTGGCAAAAGACATGCACTAGCCAAAAGTGGTTACAGAAAAGTTTACAGCTATTCTGCATTATACCTGACATTATACAAGCAGTAGAATTTTGAATTAATCACATTTATGGAACTAGCTCATCAGTACTCAGGTTATCAGAGTCAAGCCAACACATACTTAGCACTTATTATATGCCAGACCCTGCAAAGTAGGTGAAATTATTATTTTTTATTCTACAGAAGAGCAAACTGAAGCTCAAATAATTATGCAATTTTCTGCAGGCCACAAACTCAGTATGCTCAGAACTCAGGCAATGTGCTTTTCTGAGAATATTCTAAATTTTGTTTTATGCACTCTACTTATATAACATACTAATTTTATGACTTTACAATAATGAAACCTTTAAAATGCTCAAGTTATCTCTCTTTCAAAACAAAGCAGGAAATATTTAGCCACCTTTTGGACATTAAAAAAATAGCTGGCTAACCTCAATATATGCAACAGTATCATCTGGAAGAAAAGCAAAGCTATTAGTTAAAAACTTTGTGATTAGTTTTCACAATCTAATATTTTATGTTTCATGTGTCGACCTCACACAAACTATGAATTATACTATTAAGACTAGTCTTTATAATCTACCCTGTCATTCAAAACTGTATGATGAGATTAGATAGATTAAAACTCTGGGAAATACTTTGAAGTCTCAACTTACATTTTCCTATATCTACTTTTCATTGTACAAATGATTATAAAAATTTAATTTCTGACCATTAAAAAACTGTGTAAAATTAAACACATAATGCATTGACATTTGGCAATTCATACAATGCTTTCATTAACTCTTGAAAGATGTCGCTTTTGAAATCTGAATGCTCTGATTTCATATCTAATGTCTTTGAATCTCGTTTTTCAGTCAACACTGTTCCCTGAGAGCACATTGGTCTCAACTTTAACCAACCCTCTCAGTATCTCTCCTAGCACATCATCAAAAGGCAACAAGTAAAGAAAAATGTTGTTCTTTCCTGTTCTCAAAACTACAACAGCATCTTAAGTATTTAACAGTTTGCAATGCATTTTTGTAGTTTAAAAAATAAGATCTATAGCTGGCCCTGGTGACCCTTGCCTCTAATCCCAGCACTCAGGAGGCAGAGGCAGGTGGATCTCTGTAAAAGGGAAGCCAGCCTGGTCTACACAGCAAGTTCCAGTCAGTGGGGCTACAGAGAGATGCTGTCTCAAAAAAAGGAAGGAGGAGGAGGAGGAGGAGGAGGAGGAGGAAGAATAATACTTTTGGCATTCAGCCTCGGCATAGCATCCCTTCTTCCACATTCTCTTGTTCAGCTTAGAGGCCTACCTAGATCCCAGTTTTCAAAGAAAAATAAATAAAAACGAAACAGAGACCAAGATATTCTGTTCCAAAAATGAAAGGGAGGAGGGGCAGCCACCTGTCAAGAAAGGATTCTGGAGATGCAGATGAATGAAAATATTTAGCACTCTAAGAAACTAACCCTGCAATGAAATTGTTATGGACAATGAAATAGAAGAAGAAAAAAAAAAAAAAAGATTACCACCCAGAAAACATTGAAATACAAAAAGCACTTCAGAGGAAATTACAAAGAACTTAATTTAGATTTTTTTATAATGTATACGTTTAAGAAAACAAAATGCACTGAGAAAGCAAACACTGAATTACATCCTGCCAAGAAATAGAGTTTCTGTTTTGGCACCTGAAACACAAAACCATAGGTATAATTTTCATATGCAGTTTTTCCAAGTAAGCCCTGTACTAGGTAATAATCTCAGCTCTTAAGATAACTATGCAGCAAACTTTCACTTGTTGTCTTCCAACTTTTATCTATCTATCTATCTATCTATCTATCAATCAATCAATCAATCAATCAATCAATCAAGGGCTATCAACCTTTCTTAATTGATTCCAATACACAACGCAATTTAAATTTTAATAACGTGGCTTTTAAAAACTAAAATAAAGACAATTTCTATTTCTCTATCTTGAAATGTTTATGTAACCTAACCTAGTTTCCACCTACATTTACATATTTATTTGACATATGAGAATATTCAACATAAGTATCCCATAAGGTCAGCATAAGAAGCTTATACACAAAACTAACTCAGTATAATAGAAATTCTGTTCTTCCAGGATGCAAAAGCAGTATAAAAATGAACTACACTGTCTGTGCTCTTCCACAAATATCTATGAAGTAGGCAAGGAATGGGAGAAAACTTTGGTCCTATCACTGAATCACTGATCATTTTGACAAGCCACTGGTACAACGATGAAATAAAGCATAGCGTCTCAGGTTTTAAATTTTCTTAAATAAAAGTGGCCCCTTTCACTTATGTAATAAATCTTTCAGCGGAGGAACTCTCTCAATGTGTGGCATCATCAGAGCAATAGTAGTTCCTAAAAGTCCTCCCTAAATTCTGCTATTATCTATCATTGGAAAATAGAGTATTCATTTTAAAGTAAAGTAAGTGATAATGGTCTGGTGATGAAGAAAAGAATCATGGCAACACATGACCAGCAAAGAGAAGCGTGGGAAGAAAAAACAAATGAAGGTCTCTCAGTTGAAGCAAACTGTACAGATCACTACTTGAAGTAACTAATTTTTATACAACGCCCTTTGTATTCTGGAACAGAGCTATAAACAATATAGGAATGCCACAACTGAACATTTCCTAGTTCTTTCATGTGTATGTATCTTTCCTATCACAAACGTATCTTCATCTACATTTTCAAAATATCAAACGTTTCATTCAAGAATAAAACAAAAAAGGCAGGAAATGAAAAATAATTGTCAGTTTCAAAGATCTTAAGCAAGCAACTGAAGACAGGGCAAAGTTCGACCCCGAATTAGTAACTAAATAAGGTAACTTGCTGTGATAGTTTTTAAATTTTAGCTTAAAATAAGGTAGCAAAATTCGTACTAGGAAAAAAGGCTCAATCGTCAATTCTTTATAAAAGCTCTGTACAAATAATAAGGATTAGCATTAGGTAGATATTAAAGCTTTGTTGCCACTTCCAACAAACCACAATCGCATTCTACTTATGATTATTAAGCAGCATTAATAATCACATATTCGAATCACCGCGACTAGGAAATGGCATTTACCCAAAAGCCTGGGGAAGGTCAACGGAGCCCCCAGTACATCCTTGAGGGAAGGAGCTAGGGTGCTTACACCTACATTATCTTCCGGGGTCCAATACCCTCGCCCAGTGTCAGGTGATCAGTTATTTAGCACCTTTAACACGTACTTATCGACAGGGTTCTCAGTAAATTACACGTCCTGTCCACCGGCAAGATTCTAGGCTTCCGGTTCTCCAACTAGGCAAAAGGAGCCCACAGCACCAAGCACAAAGCGCGCGTTAACAGGTCTGAAGAGTGAGGACTCTAGCTACCCAGGCAGGGATCCGCCTCGGGACACGGATCAGCCTCCCAACAGGGATGGGCCTGGGGACAGGAATCCCTCTAAGGACAGAGACTAATCTCCCAGTAGGGATCCACTTTAGGCAGAGATCAGCCTCGGGGCAGGGATCCGCCTCCCGGCAGGGATTATGCTTCGCGCAGGGATCGGCCTCAGGACTGGGCCCCGGCCCGCTACCGGGCTCCGCGAGCCTTCGAACCCGGCCTGGCCCCGGGCGCATGCCCGCGCAGCAGCAGCAGAGCTCCGGCGCGCTCGCAGGCTAGGCCGGGGTTTTGCGGTCGCCGATAGGCCATGCAGCCACGGCTGCTCCCAGCGCCAGGCCGCGGCAGGGCGGAGCAGGCCGGGGCGTCCACCTGAGACCGAGCGGCTCGGGCGGAGCGGGCTGAGGACCCGGTGATGGGGAGGGGAGGCCGCCGTGTGACCGCCGCGGCCGGCGCCGCCACTCACCCGCTCCTCAGACGAGCGCTGCCACAGGCAGCCAGAGGAAGATGGAGGCCGCGGCCGCCGCGGAGGAGGGGGCCGGCAGAGCCGCCGAGAGGGGGTGCGCGCAGGACGTCCGCGTCGCTGCCTCAGCCCGCGGCCTCCCGGGACCGCGGTGACAGCACTACGGCTGGCTTCCGCGCCGCCCTCCTCGTCCTCGCTGCAGCCGCTGCCTCCCTGGGCCCGGGGGCCACCTGCCTCGTGGAGCCCGTACGGCGCCGCGAGACCCCGCAGCCATCGGCGTGCGGCGCGGCACGGGAGCGGGAGCGGGACCGGGATCGCGTCACGTGACGCCACTGTTTACCGTTCCGGGCCAGGCTGCCTGCCACCGCGCCTGCGCGCTGGACCCTGCGCGCCATGGCCTACATCGGCCTCTGCGGCCCTAGTGGCTTGTCGGGGCCTGGTGGCCTGGGAGTGCTACACAGGTTAGCGTCGCGGAGGACGCTGGGCTGAGACTGAGGCGGAACGCTGGTCCCGGCTGTGCTAAGCACTGGGGTGGACTGTACCGATGAGTAGAGCTCCCGGCCCCCAGTACTTCTTACTGCTTGGGCATGGGTAGAAAATGCTAGAATGATGCCTAAGCTACCCCCACTCTCTCCCTTTCACCCGGTAGCTCGGTTTACCTAGAATTGCCTCCTTCAAGAAACATTTCTGGTCCCAAAGAATATTGGTAAGCTGTCTTGAGAGTGTGACCTAAGGGCCCCATGATCTTTCACAGACGCCTCACTCCGCTGATGATAATAGCTTGTGTAAATCCGAATTTCTTCTCGCCTTCAACCAAAACAGCAAAGGGAACTGATAACACTTGCGAAACAACCAAGAAACCCTCAGTGCCACTTTCATTAACTGGTTGCAAAATCTCGCCTAATAAACAAACAGTGGTATTTGCCATTCTTTTAAAGTATTTTTAAATTTTTTTCTTAGGTTTTATTTCTAAGACAGTATCAGTAGCTCTAACTATGTTGTTGTTGTTGTTTTTAAAGAAAAAAAAAAAGCCCCTGAGCCAGGATGTGGTGGCGTAGGTCTTTCATCCCAAGCACTCAGAAGGCAGAGGCAGGTAGATCTCGGCTCTAGGTAGACCAACCTGGTCTTCATAGTGAGTTACAGGCCAGCTGGGGATACAGGATGACCAGGGTGACCTTGTCACAAAACGAAACAAAGCTCTGAACCCCTCTGTTTTTAATACATTTGGGAATCCACAGCAGTTGACCCCAGCCTGGCCTTCAGTAAGTGCTGAAATATAACTGTTGCCTGTAACCAAAATTGAACCCTTTAAAGACAGAATGTGTCTTCAGTGTGCAGAGGCAATTACAGTCTTTTAAACACCTGCTGAGCCATACAAGGAGGCCTGTACTTTCTCCTGGAACCTTTGTTGAGTTAAACCTCACACCAAGCACAGTTCCCATAGTAAGATCAGCACAAGGTAGAACAAGCCACAGAAGTGGTCATTTACTCTTACTAATTCTCCAGTCCAGGTACTTCAAGTACTGTTAATAACAAGCACTCTTCTACAGAGACTTGGATTGTCCTGGTTCTAATGGATTTCTAGAATGCCACCCCCTGCTGTAACAACACCTCAATCCCTCAAGTCATTGTTTAGAATCTTTTTTAATATTTTGTTTTTTGGGTTTTTTTTTTTTTAGAAAGAAAAATAGAAATGAATGAGAAAGTATCTTTAATGAGATATTTGGGAGGATTTGCAAAAAGTAAATCATACTATCCTAACTCTTGTTGACCTCAGTGTGAGAATTGAAAGGGTGTTAAGAATTGATGGCTCAGCTATTAAGAGTACTGGCTGCTCTTGCAGAGAACCTGTGTTCTATTCAAGCACCCACATACCCACATGGCAGCTAACAACAGTGTTTGTAACTCAGGGCATCTGACCTCCTCGGACGATGCACCACTGGGGTACACTCACAGTACGTTCAGGCTTAAAATAAAAATTAAAAAATTTCTTTAAAAAGAAGAAATTGAGGAAAACATCTTTTCAGAGAAATCGTAGCAGATTTAAGACCAAAAAAAAAAAAAAAAAGGAAAAAATATCAGTGCTGGCAGGAAGAATGCCAAAGTTTTCTGTGGTTTGTGCCAGGGTTTCATTTGGCTGAGGCTAGATTTGAATCTTCATCTTCTAGCCTCCTCTCTTCTCCTCTCTTTCTCCCTCTCCCTCTGACAGGGTCTTGCTCTGTAGCCCAAGCTGGCCTCAAACTCACAGCAGTTCTCCTGCCTCAGCCTCCCCAAGTTCTAGGATTACAGATGTGTGCCACCATACCTGGCTGTAGTTTAACACTGGAAAAGAATCCTCAGCTGGAGAGATGACTCAGCGGTTAAGAGCACTTGCTGCTTTTGCAGAAGACACCAGGTTTGGTTCCCAGCACTCACAGTCTGGCTCCACTGTAACCCCAGTTCCACGGTATCCAACACCTTTTTCTGGTCTCTTTGGGTGCCAGGTGTGTACATAATACACATACATATAAGTAGGCAAAACACTTGCACACATAAAATTAAATTTAAGAAATTAAAAAGAATCCTAGACTGACTAAGGAATCCCAATACTATCAAGTAGTATTGGGATTTATTTTGCAGGGCTCAGGCTAGCACTCAGGGCCTGCACATGGTCCAGACAGGAGCTCCACCACTGCCCTTCATCCCCAGTCCCTTGCAC